GGGGTTGTCGGAAATTTAGGAGTCTTTGCCCCCCGGAAAAAGTGAATTTCCGCCACTGCTGTTTTGTGTCCAACAAATTCACCATAAATCTCTGGTGGACATAACTGGGAGCTGTGCCCAAGCAAATAATATTATTATTATACATTGTAGTTGGTAAAAGCAATTTGATTGGCTAAGAGCTTACAACGAAAGGTGTATCCATTGCTACAAATTGGTCAACGTATATAAAGGAAGGAAAGCGAAATTCTGCCGGATCATAACGCGATATGTGCCGATAAAGCGGTAATCACTACAGAAGTGCAACATCTTCCTCCCTTAGGTCGATCGGATCACCAATGCCTCCTTTTGAATCCAAAACATCGGACGAGTACACGCCCAATAACTAAAACATTTCGATCGATGAAACGTTCAAACTTAATAGCTCTCGAGCTAAGACTAAGCAGAACTGTCTGGGATGCAGTATACGAAGCAGAAGACGTTGATGACAAAGTCTCAATTTTCAATGGAGTTATTAGTCAAGGTCTAGACGGTTGTATGCCTCTGAAATCCATACGCCTACATCCCACGGATAAACCTTGGATGACTCCGAACATTAAAGCAAAGATTAAGCTTAGACAACGGGCTTTTACTCGTGGCAACATGTCCCAGTATAATCTGCTAAGTGCACAAGTAGACATGATTAGGAAAGCCAAATCAAATTACTATCAAAATAAAGCTAAAACATTCCGCACATCTGACCCTGCGAAATGGTACAAGCAATTTATAATCTGTCCGGAGTAAGTAGTCAGCACGAAGGCCTAACAGCAAACTCCATGGGTAGCGAGGCTGCTTTAGCAGAAAAATTTCAAATATCCTTTACTGAACTATGGAAAGACCTTTATTACAACAAGTATTCCCCAACTAGATGAAGTTGAGTCACTTCTCAAAAACTATCCTCCCCCTCTACCTAGTATTGGCCAGATTAAGAGCGTCCTAAATCACCTTAACCACTCGAAAGCAACGGGAGCCGATGGCCTTCCCCAATATTAGCTATAACCCCCCAAACAAAATGTCCACCCCTCCAAAAAAAATTTCAACCCCCCCCCCAATATTTGGCATAATAAAAAAATAATTA